GCTGGTTTATCGGCTGGTTTATCGGCTGGTTTATCAGCTGGTTTATCGGCTGGTTTATCAGCAGGTTTATCTTCTGGCTTATCAGCTGGTTTATCCTCTGGCTTATCAGCTGGTTTATCCTCCGGTTTATCAGCAGGCTTATCAGCTGGCTTATCTTCCGGTTTGTCAGCCGGCTTATCAGCTGGTTTATCTTCCGGTTTATCAGCCGGCTTATCGGCTGGTTTATCCTCCGGTTTATCAGCCGGCTTATCTTCCGGTTTGTCAGCTGGCTTATCTTCCGGTTTATCAGCTGGTTTATCCTCTGGTTTGTCAGCTGGTTTATCCTCCGGTTTATCGGCTGGTTTATCTTCTGGCTTGTCAGCTGGTTTATCCGCAGGGGGGTCAGGCGCAGTGACAAGTACAAACAGTAAGCAGAAAAGTACTGGCATCATTTTGTGATACGTGGCGACGAAAAAGATATCCTGAAAATATTGGAGTAAGATACATATTTTTATGTAAGTACGATACATTCTACACCCATAGCTTTTCATGCGTGTTTCGTACGCATGCAAATGTAAACAAAAGCTGTATGGAAGGCTGAAGCACTTCGGAAGTAGGTCAGGTGGTAGCAAGTGCCGATGACTCTTTCTTTCGAAAGCTGCTAACAAGTAAGCCAATGACTGGTTTGATTCTCTGGCATTCAACAGTACCGATTTACTACCGAGTTTGAATGAACGACTCATAAAGGAACAGATTGCCTTTGTGATGGAATCTGGCCCTCGGTCTACTGAATGACCATTATGCTACTTACCAATGCGCCATATTAGCTGGCGCAAACGAAATCACAAAGCGAAATGCACTCTTTTCATTCAGTCGCATGTATGTGTCAGACTCCCACAAATATTCCTCCTAGATCGTTCCGTAATGATGTGCTGGTTTTAAGGAATTAGCAGCATCAAGACACGGCGGTATAAATGCCGTAAGGCCTGTCGAAGGAGACAGCGATTGTCCAGCGGAACTTACGTGTTAAGGATCACTTGACCGGAGAATTGCAAGCCATGCAGCTACGCAAGAGACATAAAAAAGCAACGCATTTTCAAGCACGCGGCATAGCGAAACGCAAAACGAAAATTTGAAACGCTGAAATTTGAAAGCACTATGTTGCATAGCATTCAGTCTGTTTTACCTCGCAAGGGAAGGACGAAGACAAGCACTGAAATTTTTCACAAGCAAATAACTGTAATCAAATAATGTTGACGGAAAACACGTTGTCTACCGGCAGTACTTCGTTCCGGAAAGATACAAAATGAGAGATGTACTCGGCCTGGATTCACGAAAAGTAACAACTATATATCTCGAGCGATGCATGGCGCATTCTCAAGGCTCTCACTACTATGCCTTGCTTCAGAATGCGAAGCGATCACCTCGCTGTTGCAAGCAAAGATACATATTAGACAACTTGTTGAAAAAGGGACTGGCTGACACCAAGGGGAAATGAATAATCCTGTACAGAGAATTCCGGTGCAGAAAACGGACATGTGTATCCAAATATGCTAGTGTAGCCATGCAATGTCGCGGGGTCAAAGAAACAGTCATGATTCTGACAGGAATGGTGGTTTTTTTACGGTGTTACGAATCGGCAAGATGACCATGTTCAGTGTGAATGCGGTATCACGGAATCGGCAGGACCACCGTGGTTTGGAAAATTCTTTCAAAGAACTGCCTGCGCGATGCATTGACACCTATGCTGAACGGGCCTTGGCATTATCATACTCATATTCTAAAACATTCTGGAGATGACAATGCAACACGGAGAAAATCCGAATGCAGAAAGATAACCTACGGTCGACTTATATGCGGTTTTCTTTTCTTTGCACACCTGGTTCACCGAATTTGAAGGGGCGTTACGAACTAACTTTTTCAAGCCCGAGAAACGCAATTAGAGGTGCCACAAACGGAGTAAATGAAAAATATTTCAGGTCTTTGTCACTGAAGTTTCGAATATTTGCTGTTTTTTAGGCTTCACAGCTCTGGCATTGAATTTGCTATAATCCATTTGACTTTTGAGGGTCCCAGCCTTTGAAACACTTCGTAATTTCGTTCTTTAATTCATTCATTTTTAAATGTACTAAGCAAAATTTTTAGCTGGTGCTTGAACTCTTACTAAAAATCATCCTAAAAGTGAGCGTTATTGCTTTCAGTACCTGTCATCAATAAAGCTGATTTTCTCGGAATTTTGTTTGTAATAAATTTTCAAATTTACCTAAAAGGCCTATTTGTAATCAATAAAAGCCTAAGGGACCAAGAATTTAATTTCTCCAACGTAAATGATACCTTCTATGGAAAACCTCTAAAGAAATTTTGGAGATACGCAAATGAAACCTTTCAGCCAAGGAGATAACCCAAAAACCCATGTTGACTGGTGTTATGAGCAATTTCAGAGTGCCCTTCTCTCTCGTAAGGGATGAATACGGTGAGGTTTCTAACTTTTTTTTGCATTTTTGCTGAATGCTAAAACGCATATTATAATGAACAGTGGTGGGTATGTGCGTATGCGTGTTTGTGCTTGTGT